AGGTTGATTGCTTCAGAGTATCATCAATAACACCATCTCATGATCATCACATAATGTCAATTGTGAAACAACTGGCCAAACAATCAACTGATAATAAAATCAATAAAGTCGCCATCGAACATTTTTTATCTCACAAGAAGGGAAAGGTAAACATCGAATAAACCTGAGAAGGGTGAAATCAAGGTCGAACGACCAAGAGATATGGGTAAGGGAGTGTATTGTGCGAGGGAAAGGTATTAGCACCCCACACACTCGTAGTACTCTACGGTATCCACTCTTATTGTTCTAATCTATGGGTGTGTGAGAATCTATATCTAAGTTGTACAGGGAATGCATGCAAAAGAAAAGAGAAAATAATGTAGGGAAAATAACAGTTGTGCTCATTCGGGACCTACCCCAATACTTACGTATCCATTTTAAGGAATCAGAGCAGCCGTAGTTCGGCTCATATATTTTCGTTGGTTTGTGTTTTTTAGTTAAGAAGACAAAAGCGATAATCAAGATGGAAAAACATCAGATAAAATGACAAAACATCAGCAACAATGATAAAACATCAAAACAAGGATGACAAGACATCACATCGAAACAAAAACTCAGATAAGATAATAACACATCAGCATAATAACAAAATATCATATAAGATGATAAAACATCACACCTAACAATGATATCAAAAATTAAAGTAGGATAGCAAACATATGCGATGATGAAGCATCGGCAAAAAGATGATAAAATATCATGGCAAAGATGACAATACATCAAAACTTAGATGGTAAAACATCACACCTAATAATGATATTTAAAATCAAAGTAGGATAACAAACATATGCGATGGCGAAACATCGTAAAAAATATAGAAAAATATCATGGCAAGGATGGCAAAACATCAAAACTTAGATGGTAAAACATCACACCTAACAATGATATTGAAAATCAAAGTAGGATAACAAACATATGCGATGGCGAAACATCGGCAAAAAGATAGAAAAATATCATGGTAAGAGTGGAAAAACATCAATTTGACGGGGTTTAAAATAAATCCAAAAGGCGCATAAACAAATAAGATTGGTTTGTATTTTTTTACCTTGAATAAGGATTTAAGTTCATTAGAGAAGTTTTATGATTTGCCAAGAAGTAGAAAATTTTAGTTTTAAGATGTAATATGCGAAGAAAAGAAAACAACTAAGGGAGACTATCTTAATCTCTAGCCCTAGTGTAATCATACAATGATGACCCTATGGTTGAGTTTTGAAAGGGGAGTACCTACCTAAGTGAACATACATGGATTCCTACCTTAATGTCTAGCTCGACAACTAGCCTAAACAAGCGATCCTAAGGGAACATGGAAAATAAAATGTCACAGATCCTGTGACAAAAATCAAGCAAACAGATGATAAAACATTCGGGGTAATCAAAAGCTCGAGCATCACTCGAATATCAAACACCTACAGGACGCAGACCAAGTAGTAAAAGGGAAGGTCCCGCCATAGACAAGTAACCAAGCATCAGACCAAGGGTCAAGCCATAGCCAAGGGGAGCGAATCACCTGAGTCATCTAAGCCATAAGATTGTGGGAATATAAGGGGTCCTTAACTGCAGTATCAATTACCAAGGCAAGAAAGATCTGGGGGAAAAGAGATAGTGTGTGCATACACTAAGCATCAGCGTTGGTCAACGCGAGCTAAAGAAAGCGTGGGGATCCGATTGCAAGAACCCTTTTCACTTGCCTTTGAAGACTTAAATTCATTCAGATCTTAAGCACGTTTTCAGAGCATCTACTTGTAGAAAGTGAGCATAGGAACGACACGGACTAGAATGTGTAGGGGTTGATTAAGAACCCTCTCTGCTCGCCTCCTTTTGAGGGATTATCAGTTGTAATATAATGCGGGCACAATTTTTAAACAGACAAAAACATCCTAGTGAGGACTTCCAAAATTTCCTACCAAGTGGCACGGATTCCCAACCCTAAGTAAGCAGTAAAATGCCGGTAAAAAGTAAATTAAATAAGAAAGTACCAAACAAATATAATACTCAAATAAGCAACTAAACAGTAACGAAACCCAGAGATCTTCGAACGAGCTAGCATCAATCAAAGAAACAAGTCAGAAGTCGCGTCGCCAATCATAAACATCAAAGCCTCAATGTGAAAATAAATCACAAATAGTGTGTAGCGGACACGGCCATACAAATACTCTGCAAGGTAATACAAACAAACAAAGCAGACAATAGTTCAAATATATATGTATATCTCATAGATATGAGAAGTCAGATAGGTCGCTTCAAAAGCACAGTTGTATCCCACAAATAAAGTGGAACACAAAGTAAAGAAAGTCCATGACATACCTCGCACAGCTCAACAAAATGATTAGTATTAATAAGGTAAGGTAAAATGTGAATATAAACATGTTATTCATTTATCATTTATCAAGGTTTAAGAAAGCACTCAATTAATCATTTTAAAGCGCAGTATAAGCACCATAGCAAATAAACTAGTATCCGACGAAACGGTGTAGTGAAGTGTGCCTAGGTAAATGGATAAATGATCAAGGAAAGACAAGTTAAGGGATGATGAGATCAGAAGTAAACACAAAAGGTTAAATTTCCCTAAGAAACTATGGAAGCCCTAATAAAAACCTACTAAAAAAATCTTAGGTACAATCACAAAACTAGGCCCACAATCAAACCTAAACTAACTCTAAGAGTGAAAGAGATAGGAGGAAATGGTAGGTGAAGGGTGAACATGGTTAGGGGAGTATCCTATCATACAAATCACTAGAAAAACAATATCTAGAGATCACATTCAAATATTATAAGTCACACAAGAAAAGTCACACATACATCATACAGAAGGGGAGTGTTGAAAAGAAACAAACAAACAAGTTTACATTGAGCAAGCATGGATTTAAACAAAGAGTGCATGTTTTAATAATCATGGAATGTATGAATTATATAATAGGTTATATCAAGATGAGACTCAAGAGTAACCAAGTAGAAGTTGAGACTTCTTACATGAACAAAGCCACCTAATTGATGAGCAAAATCATCTAAAAGGAAAATAAAGACATTCTATCTTATATCAAATGAAGTTGATAAAGACTAAATGAAAGTAATAAAGCATCTTATTTTTCCTTGCGTGATGATAAAACCCTCATAAGATACTAGTCATGAATTTAAAACCTTAAGAGGTGTTAACAAGGTAACATACCTAAGTATCATGACATTGGAGAAATATTGTCCCTTAAGTTATAAGAAAAAGATCAAAGTAATTTTAAAATTAATGTCCTTAGACTTTATAGGTAAAAACCAAAGTCAAGATACAAGGTTGGGACAAGTTTTACAATCACAAGAAACAATCATCAACAACTAAAAATTCAAAATCAAATGCAAGGGGTAAATGTAGCTCTCATTGTGTCACCATGATGAATTAGCTATTGAGCACTAACCAAGTGGATAATAGAATTATAGAGAGTGGATATGAGAAGGTAAGTAAAATCAAAGTTTGAAAATTAAGAAATGTGGGACTTAAAGTCCTTTCAAGCAAACAAATACAAAGTAGGTCAAAAAACTAAGGGAATATCACTCCAATCTTGTCACCATGTTGAATGGGTAATGAAATGCCAATCAAGGATCAAATAAGCTTTGTATGATAATAAGAAAATCTTAAAAAGTAATAATCAAAAAAGATTCAAATCAAAATGGACCTAAATGATACATAAAAAGTGGTGCACAAAAGCTACCTCTTAAACCATGGTCACAAATAAGTATCAAACAAAAACAAGCAAGTTATAAGATCTTGAATGGTTCTTTGATAAACTCAAGCCTCTAAAATAGTAATAAGGATGATAAAAAGAAAAGTATTTGATCCATCATGGGTTACACAAGTGCATTCCCTCTACCTCTAATTCAAAAGAGCATACAAACATACATGACAAGGATAATTGAGTCAAAAATAGAAACAAGACTTGTAAAAATAAGAAAAAAAATATTTCAAGGTTCACAAGAAATCAATAGGTCAGGAACATCAAGCTCAATACAAAATTAGCAAGGTTCAAGTTGAAAACTCAATCAAACAAGTTAATCTAGCCTAGATAAGCCCCTAATTGGAAACCCTAGCTTGATTAATTGAGGGAAAATATCAAATCAACTCCTAAAATTAAGAAAAATTAATTATAAGGCCCTAAGATATCATACTACCCTAACCTAAACAGAAATTGACTTAGAAGTCAAGGGAGATTAGTCAATGAACCCTAACGTGTGACCTAAGCAAGCAAAAGTCAACAAAATCAAATCATAAATGTTAAATTTTCAAAAGGGGTCAAGAACACAAAGTGAAATTGAAATAAAATTCACAAGAATAGAAAATAACCTAATGAAGTCAGAGAAGATTTTTCTTTATTTTTAGAATTGAAAGAAAATAGAAAATTAAATCAAAACATGACAATCTTTAATAAAAACCTAATTAATTTCTATATTTTTCTTAATCTACCAAAAATATTAAAAATGTGATATAAAATTCAGAAATCACATATATGTCAATAAAATGACTCAAAGTATTTATTGTGATATTTTTGTACTAAGATAAATGATTAAACTAATTGGGAAAATGTTTAAAAAGCAATTAAATGTCACAAATTATTTGATTAATCAAAAAAAGTGAAATTCTAAAATAAAACTCAGAAACTCAAAATATACTAATTAAAGTGCCTAAAATATTTTTTTTGTGTAATTTTTGTACAAAGAAAAAGTCAGAAACAAAAAAATAAAAAAAAATTATGCAAAAATCAATTAAACAAAATTAATTAATCTACGAATTTTTTATACCAATCAAAAGATTTTTAAAAATTCCAGAAAAATTATAATCAAATATTAGAGATTAAAATCTACCTATGGTATTTTTTTTATAGAATTTTTGAAAGTGTTTTGATCAAGAAATAAAATTAGAGAAATCAATTAAATGAAATAATATAAAAAATGCATTAAAATTCAAATCAGCCAACCAGATGCTAACAACTCATCGTCTTCTTCCTTGTAACAAAACCTATCATGTGTGTTTTAACAGTTTTGTGCATCAATATTCAGATCAACACCACGCCTTCAATTCTCAACCATTTTCAACGAAACAAAGTGCAAACCAAATATCTAACAATAAGCTACCACCAACAATTCATGGATTTCAAAACCATCAACAGATCAAACCACAATCATCACACGAAAATCCAGAAAATCATCCATATCCAAATTTTCATAAGTTGAAAACAATATCTAGGCCTCAAATTGAAGTAAACACATATTTCATTCCTATTGTTTAGCTAACAATGAACATATATTCAAGATCACACAAGCTAAAACGAGCTACATCATGAGAATTCAAGATCTGAAAATTACTTCTCGGATTAGAAAATAAATCCAATCAATGCCTCTGAAATATTGAGAAACCTGCTCCTCTTGATCCTTAAGCCTCAATGAAGTAGAATTGAGAGGAATGGAGCTCTAGAATGGAAGAGAAGATGAATCGGAAGTTCCACTTTCTTGAGAAATAGAGAAAACTCAGATCCAGATTTTTGAGAGAGTGAGGCGTATCCCTGCTTCTGAAGGTAATAAAGTGTTTTTATAGAAGCTTTAGAGTGAGGGCAAGGTGGTAAAAACCAAACTTCAATATCATTAGAAGGTATCTGTGAAAAATCATAAAAATGAAAGTGGGGTCATTAAGCTATGCATTTTGTATGTTGAGCTTAGAGTTTATATGTCGTTTTGTCAATGAATAAAGAGTAGAAATGGGATATAGTACACACAAATGATGAGGTGGATTAGCATGCACATGGGGTGGAAATATTTGCAAGAGAATGGTGACTACAAGCAATAGCCCATTGGTCAGCTCACTTTTGGCTCCAACATCTCAAAATTCACTCGTGCGTTTTTTATGTTAGGGAGGCCTTTTGAAAGCTTTCATCATGTAGATCAACATGGTATTTTACATTTCTCAATTTGGAGTTGATATGAGCAAGATATGATGAGGAGAATTTGAGAAAATACTAACTAGAAAGCCTTGGCCTGCACGCACGTGCATGCTTTGCATGGGGTGCATGGAAATCCGCTTTGGAACACCAACTTCATAAAGCCATAACTCACTCAATCCTTGGCCAAATTGAGTGATTCAAAGCTCAATGAGAATATATAATGAAAAAGAACAAATTGTTACTTTTAATTTTTCAAACTGAGGCTTGAGTCACAAGAAATTAATCCCACAAAATGGCATGCCAAATGTTTGATGAAATTACACGCGTGACTTGCTTGCTTGCCTAGCAAAATTTCTACCTTGTACATGAAACTTCCAAGCCAATTTTCTCTTAAATGGTTCACAATTAGGCTTTTCACACACATTGACAAAGTTGAAGAGTTTTTCACAAGCTTTCTGAATATGTATTATTTGCTTCAACCGGATTAACCAAACTCAAGTTGTGATTGGTCAAAGTTGTATACTATGGATACTTAGAAATTTCCAAAGATTCAAATAACTTCATGAACAAGTAAACCCTAATTTCTTCAATTCCATTGATTTAATGATGAAATTAGCCATGAAATATGAAATGAGGATGTTTGAATTGAGGGTTGACCAAAATTCCACTTGGTTAACTCCTGGTTTTATTGACTTTTGGTTAAAATGACCATTTTCCCCTTGTGATCAATTGACTCATTTCCAATCAAAATTGAACCTCATTATTTCAATCATAGATGCTCAATAACATATAGAAACACATGGAATCAAGATTGGATTAAAAAGTTGAAGATCTCCTGATTAAATCCAAAACCCTAATTTGGTCATTTGTATAAGAGGATGATGCTCAAGCTTCAAAATCCTAAATCAACTAGACCTTCTTGAGCAAATCTTTGAGAAAAGTTGCCTCAAATGATAATAAGAAGAAAATGCTTCCAGAAATTGTCTTAGACAAGTTTCAAGTCACACAATGGGTCAAAACCCTAATTTCATCAGATGGAGGAGACAAATAAATTCCTCTTCAAATCTTTGTAATATTTCAACTCTTTATAAACCAATAAGACAAATGAGATATCTTGAGGCATGAGAGATCCCTGGGACTTGAGAGATCCAGAAGTTAAGATAATGAGGCTCTTCTTGAGCAACTTGTCAATACAATCAACTTTCAAAGCTTGAGGAAGGCTTGATAACCAAAGTATTTTGATCCCATCACAATGTATGAGTGCAATGCAATATGATGAAACATAAGCCTCAATAAAGAGAATAAATTTTGGGGTGCAACAAATTGCATCATGCTCACAAAATTTTATTGGTTATAGATGATTTGAATTCATCTAAAGAAGAGTCAATTGTCACACAAAAGTCAAACTTTGACCCTTTTTGGTCAACATTGAAGTTCAAAGTCAAGAATCATCAAAATATCCAAAGTCATCAAACTTGATCACCAAAAATCAAGACAATCAAGAGAATCAAGAAATTCAACAAAAGTCAAAGTTGAAAGATTTTCAAATACTTAGAGAAATTCAAGTGTTTTGTGCCTAAAAAAACTCTAACTTCATAAGCAAGTTTTCCCAAGATGCAAGTTGATTCAAGGAAAACTTTCAACATGAAAGTTTTAGGAAATGAGGAATTATACAACTTTGTCAATGGGGATTGATCTCCTAAAAGTTATTAAATTGAGAGATATGAGCCTATGAAGTTGTGATATATTTTATCCAACACTTAAAAAAAATTTCAAACTGTTTTGATTAGTTTTTTATCTCAACTTCTTGGCCAAATTTCACCAAGATCCAGAATGATTCAAGGGAAATGTCAACATGAAAATTGTAGATAATGATTCAAGCTTTCTAAAATTTCCAAGAGCATAAATTTATCATGCTTAAGCAAGGAATTCAAAGAGATAAAGTTGGCATTTTATTCTTGAATTATAGGTCATTTTTGTGATGAACTCATAACCAAATATCATAACCATGTAACATAATCTCACTTTGCAGGCCTCTACGCTCCTAAATCTCTCCATAATCAGAAGATTACACACTCTTGTTGGCTATTATCCAATTGGCTCAAACCTTATCCAAGTGATTATTCCATTAATGGCACAAAGTTAACACTTCCATTTTGGAAAAGAAAGCTTTAAACCAAAGACAATGCATTGAGCTCCTAAATCATTTCTCTCTAATCACACTCAATAGGAAAGTTAAGAAGCAAACCCTCTGCATCTAACAACTACAAATCACTCTTGTACTACTCCGTTGGAACCATCATTTTCATATAACTTGTCATTTCCATGTGAACCATCCATAACTTGATATCTCAAAAATCTGGTTACTTCAATCTCTCAAACTTTTTGCCTATAAATAGAGAGGCCATTCGCAAGCCAAAACACCAATTCACAAGCCCTTGAAGCCTCTCAAACTCTCCCAAGCCAGAATTGGCCAAAAAACCACCATTCTTGAGCTTTGAAGTCCATTTCTTCTAAACTCATCCACCTTACAACTTCTGTGCAAACTAACTATTCATACACCTTATATACATCATATAGAGTTCATCCAAGCACCAAAACAACTCTTGTAACATCACCATCATCATCATCCAACTCAAAAAACAGTGGCTGGCAGTTGGACTTGTTCAGGGAGTTTCAGCTTGCTTCAAGGCAAAGTAAGGTTAGGATACACTCAGGGAGGTCCCAGCAAGCTCAAGTAATCATCACTTTGCTTCTCGAAGCATCAGAAGAGGTGTTGGACTTTTTCCAACTTGATAAAATTTCAAACTTTGAACTCTTTATTTAAGCATCACTTACATTCACACTCAAAAGGAAAAATGTAGATATCATGCCTCTAAAGCTAACCATGTCCTTAGTTTTCATTTAAATTGATTATGTGATGAGAATTTCGCTTCTAAACCGTTAGGGTCTTATTTTAGTATTGACATAAATTTTCTTTAACCATTGAGTCTTAGCTTGAATAGATTGCATGGTTGAATTCGTGATGAGATTTAGAACAAGTTTCATGTTTACAGCTTTTGAAATAATTGAGAAATGAAGGAGTTAGCATTTTCAAAAATGGTGTTGTTGTTGATGGCCGCACGGAGAAGATGAAGTTTCATCTTTAAATTTTCAAAAATGACTTCATTTTATATTTAATGGGTGGTGTATCATAAACGGATAAAACAACAACTCCCAATGGTAAAGAAAGCGCGCCTGTAACCTTAGGGACCTAGGTTTGAACCCCAGTGATACCCTTTTGTATATTTTTTCTTTTAAAACTCAATTTTCCACTTCATTTTTTACCATTTTCATTCAACTTCTTTTTGTAATAAAATTTAGTTTTCTTGAGTTAATTTTTTTCAAACTCCTCATTTATCACTTCTACTTTATGAATATTAAAAAATATCACAAAAATATTTTTTATTTCATCATTTTTTACTTAGATCAAAGTGGATATTTTTTAGGGTTTTTAAAGGGGACTTTTGATGATCTTTTGATCAATTTCTCAACTTTGCTCACAAAGCTTGATCTTAGCATGATATATCTTGATTCTCATTTGATATCTTTACTCTTGAGTGAGCCTTTCATGGTAGCTTGAGCCATTTTAGGATTTTTCTCATTCAAAATTCACACTAAATCATGAAAAACATGTTCAAAATTAAAAGATATGCTCCATGATTTTCAATTGTAATTGTGATGCATACATTTGTTTCAAACATTCAATTCATCCATGTTTTCACAAACTTGTCTTACTTTTGAATAGATTTCCTTCATAAACTCTTTTAAAACATAAACCATAAAACATCAAAAAAACATGTTTTCAACTATCACTCTTTTGTCACAACTTTTACCAAATAAAATTCATGGATTCTCATCCACTTGTATGATCATTGCTTATGTAAATAACATGTTTCCTTAAGCTTGCTTGGTTTATTTAAATCTTTGATGAAACTTGATTCAAGATAGACATTAGGATCTCAATCCAAGCATGACAACATTAGAGTATACATTCCCCACACAACCTCAACTATAGGATCAATCTTTGCATGACAATATTAAGATCAAGTCCCCCCATTAGACTTTTCTTTTCCTTTTGCATTGCACCATTAAGGCTAAAATCTTTTCTCATTCAAAAATCCAAAAATACTTAAAATATTCAAAACCCTTTCAAAACTAAAGGTATGAAGGTTATAGGTGTATCCTTGGATGAATGTCCACTTAAAACCTTTTTCCTAACAAAAGCACAAATCAAATCCAAATCATTTTTTCCTTAGGATTTTTTCACTTTAAAACCTTTTCAAAAATGATATGTTAACTCCTTTCTACACAAAACAACGATGTGTAGTCTCCAACAGTCGAATGGAAACGTTAACTGTTAGAATGCAAATTTAATTTCATACATAAAAAACACACAACAAATAAAATATTTTTAAGAAGAAATATGGTGTTCTGATTCCCTTGTAGATATGTAGGCATATAGTTTTAATGCTGAGGCGAACGCACTAATAAAAACCTTTTCTTTTTCCCAATGAATTTATGCATGTATTTCCCTTTAATAAGTAAGTTTTAGATATACACACTCATTGATTAGAATAACAAGAGTGAATCTCGTGGAGTACCACGGACGTGAGAGGTGCTAATATATTCTCCTTGCGTAATCGACTCCCTTACCCGAAATTTGGTTGCGAAATCATGTTCTTTTCTCGATACCAAAGGTTTTCTCTATATTTTCCTTTTCCTATTTCTTTGAATAAATAAAGTTAGGTGACGACTCTATTTATTCTATCCGAGATTATTTCGTCTTATTTTTCGAGTAGATTCAACATACAAGAAGGATGTTTTGATATTGAAAAGTTGATTGAGAATGAGAATATTTTTTTAAGGATTTTGAAATGAAGTTTAGTTTCAACATGAAGAAGAAGATCATGTAAGGTAGTGTTTTATCTAATTTTTTGTTTGATATTTTCAAATGTTAATTAAACCATCCCAATCAATAAAAACACCATAATTTATTACAGAGAATATTTCAAAAATGCATCTCTAGATGCAATACAAAGATGCGCTTTCAGTCCATATTTTGTTTAAAATGAGAGATATCTCAAAAAAACGTAGAGTTGTATAATTTTATGTGTCTGAAAGTACATCTCGAAACATATAAATCTCCCAATACATGAAGAACCCGAGGAGTGAGACGCTCCCTTAACAGTGAAAAAATAATTTCTCTAAATTTAAAACATAATTTTGAATTTTTTTTTCCTTGTAGATATTTAAAATAAAAGTAAAACAGATACAAAAGTTAAAACTGAACAATAATCTTACGTGAATTTTATGACAAAGACAAAGTTACAATTATACTAGAAAAAGAAAGCAAGGCACGTCAAAATCTTCAATTTATCGTGATATATACATCCAACTACCAACTTAACTCCTGCGAGATACCATGAGGGATTCATAATTATTCGTTCAAATACCACACAAATCATTATCAAATTGCCGACGCTGTAAAGGAATAAACCAAAAATATAAACGGACCAATTTTGGCTGGTTATGTTCTTAATGACTTGTTCTTTTTTTTTTTTTTTTTTGAGGTAGAAACATGTCTTATTCGTGAACATATACTACAAAGAAAGGCAACAACTTGAAATTCCCCAAATTATACGATAAGCACTCAAACCGATACAACTTGCTTCTAGTTCCATCTAACGGCGTCATGTTAGATAAATAGTCAGACGAGTCACGAGAACAAGAGTTTCCTAGTCAGATTCTTATTGGTTCTTGGCGATTTGATGATTGATGGATAAGATAGCATAGCATTCATTATTAAGCAATTATTATGAATTAACGTGTTAGTTAGAGAAAATAAAATTAAAGTACCCAACTAATTTAAAAATCAAGAACAAAAGCTAAGAAAACAAAAGTATGGTAAAAGAGGAAAATATCACCTTATAAGATATTTTATATATTAAGGAGAGGGAAAAAAATGAGAGGTATCAAGGACTAAAGCTTCTACGAACTGCATGTTGTAAGAAGTGTGTATATGAATGAATGCCTCTGAGTACAATGCAATGCAGTTTGATCAGCTTTCACCCTGTAATGGCAGGGTAAGTTCTATACATTGAATGTGATGGTTTATTTTCATATTTTAGATATAAAACTACCCTGGCTAATTTTCTTGACCTCCTCCACAAGCTTCTTTTATTCATGAAAAAAGTCTACCCCCAACCCTTCTTCTAACAGTCACTATGGCCGCCCTTGCCCTTTTCGATACTAAATGATATCAGCTTTGTTAAAACTGTGTAAACTTAATGTCGGTGGCAGAAAGCCAAGTGCACAAGTATAGAACATAAGTACTATTCCATTTTTTTCCAAACACTCCACTTACACTGTACTTCTTGATGTATCATCATCTTCTGATGGTTCTAAACATTCCTCTGGATTGGCATAGAAAAAATCCTCTTCTTTTGGTCTATCAGGTATTACCAATCTTTTCGTTGCGCCGCCCATGCGATCTGCATGAGATTGCTTCACGGCGAAAGAGAATTCATCCCAGTTCATTGCTCCATTGTTGTATTGATCTATCAACTCAACTAAGAGCTTTCTGTTCAATAAAATTGTCTTCTTGAACCCAAGATATCTGCAGAAGAATTGGAGGGTACAAGTCAATATCATTTGGATTCAAACTTTATTCGGGAGAAAAGTGTTCTGGATTGGGGAGTGCACAAAAAAAATTCTCCTAAAGAATAAACAAAAATATAGAGAACAAGTACTATTACCGCCAGTTGAAACAAATTAAAATTTGAATAAATTTATTATTCAGAGCAGGAGGCAGTAGAATGGAACAGCAAATCATGTAGAGTAGACAAATAACATTTCTTATTATTAGCCAATTTTTACCTGCGATGACCTTCAACGACTTTGGCCATATTTCCATCATAAGTAGGAACAAAGATATCACTCTCTAATGAGACAAGATAATCCAATGCTGCCATTTGAGAGGAATGGTTTTGGAAGAACTGAAGTTCAGACGGTTCCAACAGTGTTTCCTTTCTGACCTGTTTCAGAAAAACACAATTGTGCAAACAGTGTCAGTAAGAGGAATTCAAACAAGAAAAAGAATCACAATTCAAAGGTTCTCTTGAGCCTTAAGTTAGTTACCAATTTTGGATAGTTCTTTGCTAGACTGGCCATTCTCCTACTCCCACCATATATTTCCCCAGCAGCAATGTAGATTTGAATGTTTTGATCTATGTCAAAGGCCCTAAGCGCAAGAGCGGTTTCTTCGGGTGTTAGAGGACATAAACCATCTTTTCTTTTCAAATCAGAATTAATTATTTTTTCTTTCCACCAAGGATAAGCATATCTGCCAATGTTCAATCAAGAAATTAAAATTTGGCAAAGGTTTACATTATATTTCCTTTCAAACTCCGGGAATGAAAGTTATGGAACAGACAACTCACCTCATCCTTGTCAATTCTTCTACCTCGTCACTATTGCAACCTTGAGTACAGCCAGAAAATGCCAACATGTCCATCTCATACCTCAGGTGAAGTACCAGAAATGGGCCATTCTGTTTCAGAAGATTGATAACCTTTCTGCCTAACTCCTCAATCTGAGGAGTAAATCTAAGAGCACTAAAATTGACTCGGCAACGCAGCTTCTGAATCTCTAAAGATTGCCCATTATTTGCCAACCGAGCATCAGTTCGATTTAAATGGACAACTTTATACTTTTGTATCAATGGCAGAATCTGAAAGAATAACCACGCCATTTGCTTATGAATTAGCAAAAATCCTTAATTGAGGACATGGAACTTATTGGCACAAGATTAAAAAAAAACTAACCTGATTCTTATAGTATGACATGTCCGACCAACTAATCGGTGGCATGGTGTAAAGAAATCCATTTTCCACTTTTTGCTTGAGCCTAGTAGGCAACTCTTTCAATATCCGCACCTCGTCTCTCAAGGATGTAATAAAATGATCCAAATCAAATATATCTTGGAACTCACTGATACAAGAGACACAATCAATTATCGAGAAAAGAAGCTGAAAACACTCCACACTCTCAGCACCGCAACGCATGGTCATTTAGCTCACACCAAAATACAGAGATGAAATGAAAAACCAACCTCGGATCAGCCCAAAAGGAAGCTTTATCCAATTCCGGGACTATTAGTGTGACATTTAAATATCTTGCAATTGCCACCATATCACATATCTGTACAATTACATCGCATCACATAATCAAAACCAAAATCCCCCAACACTACTAACTATCACAAATGTAACACACCAAACGCATATGTCAACCACTTACCGCCGCTCTCATTTGGTTCAATCCTCCATTGCACGACACCATCAAGTAACCATTGTTTTTATAAACCCCTGCAAAAAAAAAAAATCAAACAAAATTATCACCCTCTAGAATAATTAGAAAGTACTCCAATATATTCAAAACACTCATAATGCAAATTTTCATCCCAATTATTGAAATACTCAAAAATTTAACAAATTGAGATGACGAGTAACTAACTCTTGGGTGGAAGAATCCTTGGCGGAATAGAAGGAAGCTCCATGATTGCAGATTCTTGAGTAAAACACGAAGGCCAACCTTTCAAAACTCTAGGACCCCACATATCACCAAATGCAGTTAACTGAACAATGCAAATCCATAAAATCACCGACGTGGTAGCCCGTATCATCCACAAGTTCATCCTGGAAGACCTCACCGTCACCGTATTCTTCAACTTCTCAACCTTATTCTTACTCATCCTCATCAACCCTTCCCAACTCTTGTCTTCTCTTCCCCACAACAACGGCTCCTTCATAACCCTCCCTTCTATCAATGTACACAACACCAAACCCTAAAATCTCGAATTAACTCTAACAATTGATCCAAATTCAAATGAGTAAACCTCAAATTCCAAAACGCATTACCACAGTTTGCAACACTAAATCTAAATCGGAACGTGAAACGGAGAGATCTCCGAATTCAGGATAAATAAACGGAGGCGAAGAAATCGCCGGCGACTGATCTGAAACAATCGCCGGTATCTCTCGCCGGCGAGAAATGGAGCGTGAGAACACAAATATTAAATGAACGAACAAAAAGGAGAGAGAATAATAGAACGCGTCACAATAGAGAGAGAAATGAGAAAAAAATGAAGGCTTGTATTAACGGTTGGTGACACACGCGGCTCGGCTGAGAAGAAAGAGAAGAGAAGCACGAGCCGTACGGTGGTGCGTCACGAAAACCGAACCGGTTTAGTGAAAGAAAGAGAAGGATGGGGTTATGGGTCTTTATTGGTTGAAGCTGGCTCATTAAACCAGAACAGCCAATTAAATACATGGGTCCCACCTACGTGTCCTCCATCAAAAAAAATGTCATATACGTGGCAGGTTTTGATTGTGGGCATTGTGAAAAGTACTTTGTGGGATTCGGCGTATTTCGTTCTCTTGCGCCGACAATATATCGCGAGATTTCATTTCATTTCTTTCTTATCTTTCTTATCTTATGCTATTTAACTCTATATTTCACAATTACTTTTGTAGTTTTTCTAGTGGTGGGTTTTTGCACTAACTTAGAATGTTACATCTATAACTATTTCAGAAATTGTAACTAAATCGGATATTATAACGGTATATTAGTTGAAGAATATTATTCATTCAGGTTTAAACAGTTATTCATAAATGATAGTATTCCAATTTAATCGATCTTTTATGTTTAACCAGTTATTAATAAATGATAATATTCCAATTTAATCGACCATCCATAATTAATTTGTCTTTATACACTATTACTCAACTAGCTAGTTACTATATCAGTTAACAATATATTTCTTATTAGTACAAAAATATTATTTAATTTTAGAAACTAATTATTTTCAAATCTAATTATCAATTAAAATTATAATTAATCTATATATTTGTCAATAGTTTGTTATTAGTTTATATTTATGATGTTAAATTTAATATATATAAAATTGTTTTGTGTCGTCTACAAAACTCACGAGGTCCTATTACAAGCGATGAAGAGAAAGTCACACTGAACAGATGAACCTTCATCTTTGCTAAAAAAATTGCGATCACGCTATACTAACATATTTGTAAGGAGTCATTGAGAGACAATATTTGAGGTAAGAGATGCACCGCCTCGCGCATAAAGTCCCTTAATCGCCTATTTCCTAGATGATTGTTCGTTTAGTGGATATGTCGCCTTCTTCTAGGATAAGTCATCCGATGTGGAAAATGGAGAAGTGATGCATCACTAATTCCAAAATTATCCTTATGGATATCTATTTCCACTCTCATTACCAAAGTTCTTAAAAGAAGTTCTTACTATCCTTAAGTTTAAGTCGAATCATTTTACAATGGTTGGGAAGGTCCTATCGGGTACCTGTGTGAAGAAATCTCTTAGAGAGACTTGACATATTTGATAGTATGGTTTGTAACTTCTTAAGATGTTTCGATCCATGTACCATGGCTAAATAAATTTCTTTATTAAGTCAATGATATGTTACCTCAGATTTTTAACACAAGTCTCAAGGTTGGAAAATAAAAAAAAATCTTGAGAAACAGTTATTAGTTTTAGGTCGAAGTGGTCCAAGCTTGATCACGAGTTTTTAACAGTTGTCCTGTCGAAGGATAAATACTAATCTGGTCGAATATTCATCAAGGAAGACCAAAGATACGTCTTGGACTTAGTGAAATTTCAAGTGTCTAATAAAACGTCTAAATGCTCTGTCGAATGTACTTAAAAGTGGATAAGATCAGGCAGTTACTCGATAACACATGTAAGATTTATGAAGATGAAGATTGCACAGTGTTGGAAACGTGGCATGTTTTGCTGCGTCGACTGTTGTTGACAGTTATATTAGGACTAATATATAAGCATTAGTTGTTTATAGTTTTAGGGTCCGTAATCTTACACACTGATTCTACAAACTCAAAGTACCAAGTTTTAAGAGAAACAAGTGCAGAAAATGTATGTTTTGCGTTCCATTTTATAAATTCAGTTTATCTTTTCGTCTTTTATTGCATTCAAGTTACTTTATTGTATTTAAAGCCCTTTTATCATATTCAATTTATTTTACTTCATTTCAAGTTCTTTCACAAACATTGCATGATTTCGACGTTGATGTCAAGCAATCTCAAACATTTGAACCTTTCCACAATATGTTCGCGATTCTTTCGAGTTTAATCCCTTAAGTGAATTCAAACTTATTTTATTTACCAAATTTCCAAGTAAACAAATTGTCACACCTGGTGAGACCTTTTTGATGCGAAATGGTGTGAATATTGGCCTCCAGAGGCTTAATTATTTATCCCCACTATCAGAGTACCTATTATAGGCAGAACTCCCAATGGGTTGGAAGGTACCTAAACTCACCATGTTCGCTAGCGATGCCAGTGAGTCTATAGTCGAACATATCGCTCGATATCTGAATGAAGCGGTAGACATCGCTAACAATCAGAACTTGAGGATGAGATACTTCCCTAGTTCTCTAACAAAAAAAGCTTTTACATGATTCACAACACTCTCTACTGTTGCATCCGAAAATTTTCCCTTTGAGTTTCAACCACAGCTAACTCAAACCTCACATTCATTCACCCCCCACATACATTTACATCTACATCACAATCATTCATAACATGTGTTCTCAAAGCATGGAATCACATTTTTTCTCAAGATTAGAGTTTTGAGGAGGAGAGGCTCATCTCTCAAGAGTTTGTATCATCATGATCTTCATCTTCAAGTCATCATCAATTATTTGGTCTCATCATTTTAGTTTGAGTAAACTAGGGTTTTTGGCCTTCAACAGAGAAAATTAGGAATTAGGGTTTTGTGGCTTGGATTCAAGGTTGATTACTTCAAAGTATCATCAACAACACCATCTCATGGTCATCACATCATCTCAATTATAGCATGCTCACAAAATTTCATTGGTTATAAAGGATTTGCATTCATCTGAAGAAAAAGTCAACGACCACACAAAGTCAAACTTTGACTTTTTGGTCAAACAAGGGTGTATCAAGTCAAGAATCATCAAAATATTCAAAATGATCTAAACTTGATCATCAAGAATCAATTGAATCAAGAAAGTCAACAAAATTCAAAGTTGAGAGGTTTTCAAATACTTAGAGAAATTCAAGTGTTTTGTGCCTAAAAAAACCTAACTTCATAAGCAAGTTTTCCCTAGATGCAAGCCGGTTCAAGGAAAAATTTCATTAATTTTGTAAGGAATTAGGAATTCTACAACTTTGTCATTGAGGATTGATCTCCAAAAAGTGCTTAATTTAAGAGATATGAGCCCATGAAGTTGTGATACTTTTTATCCAACACTTGGGAAATTTTTCAAACAGTTTTGGTCAAATTTTTTTATTTCAACTTCTTGGCCAATTTTCACCAAGATCCAGGATGATTCAAGGAAAGTGGTCAACATGAAAGTTTAAGAGGATTCTCTAAGCTTTCCAAAATGTCCAAGAGCACGAATTTATCATGATTGAGCTAGTAGATTCGAAGAGATGAAGTTGGACATTTTTACTTGAATTATAGGTCATTTCTATGATAACCATAAGACCAAATCCTCATGACATGCTTATAGATCTCACTTTGCAGGCCTCTAAACTCCTAAATCTTGCTATAATGAGAATATTACACACTCTTTTTGGCTATTATCCAAGTGTTTGAGCCATTGTCCAAGTGATTATTCCATTAATGGCATAAAGTTAACACTTCCATTTTAGAAAAGCAAGATTTAATCACAAAGTCCACTCTTCTTGAGCTCCCAACTTGTTTCATATAACTACAGGCAATATCAAAAGCAATAAGCAAGCTCCTTGCACCCAACAGCTCTAGAGCACACTTATACTTCTCCATTGGAACCACCATTTTTACATAAACTTGATTTTTCACTTCCAACCAAGCCATAACTTGTTATATCAAGAATCTGGTTACTTTAACCTCTCAAACCTTTTTCATATAAATATAGAGGTCATTTTCAAGCCAAAAGAAGAATTCGCAAGCCCTCAAAACCACTCAAACTCTCCCAAACCAGAATTGGCCATAAGACTCCATTCTTTGAGCTTTGGAAGCCATTTCTTCGAAACTCTTCAACCTTGCAACTTTTATGCAAACTAACCATCCACACACCTCATATACATCATATAGAAGTGATCCAAATCCATGTTTCACTTCTGTAACTCCATTATAACCATCCTCCATTTTCACTTTTGAACATTTGCAACTTCACTTGGCTAAAGTATTCCGGCAACTTTCAAAGCAAAGTAAGGATTGTAATACACTCACCAAGGTCCCAGGAAGCTAACCACATCATTCATTTGTACTTTATACACTCACCAAGGTCCCAGGAAGCTAACCACATCATTCATTTGTACTTGGAGCTGTTAGAAGAGACGTTGTACTTTCTCCAACTTGGTAAAAATTTCAAACTTAGAACTTCTTATACACACATAATTTGTGCATAATTTCTAAAGCAAAAATGTAGATATGATGTCCACAAAGCTAACCATGTATTTAGTTTTCATTAATTTTTCCTGTGTGATGAGAATCGTGTCTTTGAAATTTTTCGGGGTTTGTTTGGTACTGATGAAATCCGTGCTCATCTTTGATCTATAGCTTCTAACAATTACATCATTGCATTCCTTGTGAAATTTTAGACAAGTTTGGTCTTTACAATTTTCAATTTGGTTGAGAAATGAAGGATTTACGAATTTAAAAATGGTGAAAGTTATTGTTGTTGTCTCGGCGAAGAAGATGAAGTCGTGGCGTTAGATTTTAAAATTTTAAAACTTGAGTTTATAATAT